GGGAGCAGGACATGGGGCACCCTGTACAGTCCAAGGGCTGGGGCCGGATGAGATCCGCCAACCCGAGACCAAACCCTCCCGCGTGGGTCTTTCCTTGCCCTCACCGGAGCACCACACAGTCCCTGCGTGGGTGGGGGGCCATGCTGTCCGTGACGTAGTGGTAGACCTCCATGTTTTTGTCCAGGGCTTCCACCACTTTGCTCTGCAGCAGGTCCTCGTCCCAGAGGTGACGCTCCCGAAGCACCCGGTGCAGCACTGTGGCAGGAGGGGCCTCGACATCCGTGGAGACCTTCCACAAGCGCAGAGGGTGCCCGTCCCCAACCTGACGGGCCGAGGTAAGGGTCAGGCAGGCTGTCCCACAGGACCCCCCCAGTGCTAACCCCCAAGCGGCTTTACCGATGGCTCCCACTGCCATGGAGCAGCACAGTCATATCCGCTGGCTAGTGAGTGGTGGGGTGGGGTGGGAAAAGAGCTGCTCTGGGTGCTGGAGAGGCGCTGGACACAGGCACCTAGCTCCTCTGCTAACAACAATGCGGTGGGCTCTCTGCTGGGACTGCTGGGCACGGAGCACCCTCCATCCCAGAGTTGTCCATCTCTCAGCCCCTGCCTCTGGCCCGGGATGGGGTTGCTGATCCCTCCTCACGTAAGAAGCACCACGGGGTTGCTAGCAGGTCAGCAGGTGCCCGCAGGGCCCATGGCTCCCAGCTGTCAGCCCGTACACGTTTCCCCGCGTGACCCCAAGCCCCTCTCCACACAGTGGCATTTACCTTTTTGCAGGAGAGCTCCGTGTTCAGGGGCCCCGGGGTGCTCAGCCACCCTTTGAATTTCTCCGATGACTCTTTGAGCAGGTTCTGGACACTCTGCTCAAAGTAGGAGTGTAAATCCTTGCTTTCCCCCTCACACACGAAGTCTGTCAGAGGATGGGGGTAAGCATCTGCTGCCATATAGGAGCTGCTCAGCTGCAGCAAGATGTCGTGGGAAACCTGCAAGCCAAAAGCATACAGGTCTTCAGCAAGCCAGAGAGATCCTACGCGGACTTGGTGAGTGGTCCTGGGCAGCTAGAAAAGCGTAACTCCTCATCCCACCAAGGAGGAGGGAGGAAGGACAGAGCCTCCCTGGACATATGTCC